AAAAAACAAATAAAATATCATTGTTTATTTATTATAATTATTAATAAATTTACCGAAAAAATAATAAAAGTGAAGTAGTATATGATATATGATATATATTAGTTATAATTATTTATAACTTTATATTATAAATTTATTGTTTTTATTATGTGTTTAAATTGAGAAAATTTGTATTAAATTAAACAATAATAATAAATTAAAATGTAGTTATATAAAAAAATAATTACATATTAAGTAATTAAACAAATAATGAAGTTCTTATAATGCGCATTTTTATTTGTAATATTAGTATTTTTTTTAAAAAAAATATTTTATAAAAAATGCAAAATATTTTAAAACAAGAGTTAAATTAGTTATAAAAAAGCCTGAATTATTTAGAAAAAAAAGCTATCGATTTTAATAAAAATATTGTATAAAATAAAAAAATCCATATAATTTATCACAAATACAGTTTGTTTCATTAAAAAAATATATTTTATAAAATACAATAGAATACATTAAAAATACTATTGATATATATAAAACATTATCTATTTATTAAGAAATATTTTCACTTTGAAACCAATAAGCACTGTATCTGTTTTTATATTATAATATATACGACTATCGCTAATTAAAAACCATAATTACTTAGTATTTTTTTATTAATTTTTACCATTTGACATTCTCATAGAAACGCTGGTTGTCAATATTTTACTTTGCTTTTCAAATTGATCGGTTTCACCCATTAACCAAACCACAACAACGACACTTCTGTGATTAACTATTGTAAATGGTTTGCCAGCTTCGTTAATATTACTCGAAGATTGAAAAAAATAAACCTTTTATTTTAGCATTCTTTTTAGGATGGTTAAAAATAAAAAAATTAAAAAATAAAACAAAAAAATAATTATTTTAAAATAAGAAAAAAGCTGTTGATTATAATTAAAAAACTGTATGTAAACTGATAACAAAAATGTGGTACTGGACATTTTTACTATAAAATATAGTTTTAAATATAGTTTAAATCTTTTTTGTTAAAAAAACAAGGAAAAAAGCCGCAGTTTTTTTCGAGTAAATTTTTTTAAAATCTAAATTTTACTTCTAAAGCCGCGTTTTTGAAGAAAAACTAATAATTTGTGTAATTTCAATGTTTTTTATAATAATAATAATAATCAAACAGGATGACCAAAAAATCAAAATAAAATTGTTTATATGTTTGAGAGAACAAAAATTCGGGGGTGCAGCCAGAGCTTAAGCTGAAAGGGGGACTTATGATTATTTAATGAAACTTTTTGGAGTATCCAAGCGGGATATCTCAAATATTAAGAAAAGTCAACAACATTTTAAGTATTAAAAAGGTCAGTTTATTGGTCATTTGTTATTATCAATTAAGTTTATTCGTTTTGGCATTAAATATTGTGTTTTAGTTTATATTTTGTATTTTCTATTATTTTGCCTTATTATTAGTTAATCTATTATTTCATTTAAGTCCGTGTTGGTCTAAAATCCACACAGCTTTTATTTTGAAATATTTGTTAATTTACAAAAAGTTCGAACAAAAAGCCGCGGTTTGATTTAAAAAATCTTAGGACGAATTTGCGATTTTTTCTTCTGTTTTACACAAAATTTTCTTTAATAAGTATAAAAAATATTAGAAAATAATGTGGTACTGTGGACACTAATTCAACATTTTTTGGAAGTTAAACAAAAACAAAAAATGAGGAAATTGGGTTTAAGCAATTTATTGGTAGTACCAACTTTTTGTTAACAGTTTATAGCTATTTTTACATCGTTAACTCGCCAACAACCCAATACTGCTCTTTTTAGCAGTTTTTTAAAATTTTGTCCTAAAACTTTCTGTTATAATAGCATAATTATTATTAGGTGATTTTCCCAAAAAATAGATAAAAACAAATAATATACAATTATCACAATGGAATTATTTTAATTATTTTTTATACAAAAAAAGTTTTGTGCATTTATTTTTGAATAAAAACTTATAAACAAAGCAAAACATAAATACAACCAAAATAATAAAGAGTTAGTGGAAAATAGTCAGCTTTGGCCAATTATTGTTAAATTTAATAATTATTGTCATAAGTTGAAAAAACATTTTGTATCATTTCTAAAACATAAATTAAAAACAAAAAATTATATATAAATATCAATTAAAACTAAACAATGGTTGAAATTTTTATATTCACGTTTATAAAATTGACTTTTAGTATACATTCCGGAGTTTTGTTGTTGTGGTTGTGTAACCCCACAAACAGTCAATTGCGACCACTTGATGTTTGTTTTTGTAATTGAAAATGATGATTTAGTAAATATAAAAAAGCAAAATTGAAAATTATTAAACTAATCATTTGATTAATTATTTAATAAATTTAACACAATTCAACAATATAAAACTTAAATACGACATTTAAAATAATTAACTTATAACAACAAGTTTAGATTTAAATATATTAAAGAAACCCACAAAACGTAGCGAATGTTTAAAAAATGCTACTCATTCAATCCACCCATGAATTGAATTAATCTGAATGTGAAAGTGTCAATATGTAAAATAAACTAGGATCGATTATGGTCGTAAATTACAGTTTTAACATGTACGATTTCTGTATTTAATTTCACAAAGGCATCGATAATTTATTGAATTTGTCCCGCTCGAAAGTTTTATATTTTTTAATAATAAAAAAATATACAAATATTAACCAATAAAAT